ATTCATCTAAGGGATGTTTATGTCCACCAAATGGTGTTTACGGCCATGGAGTTTACGGCCATAAACTCATGGTAAAAGGTGCATAAGAGGGTGTTTGAATGATAGGGAAGCTTGTGGGACTATTGCTCTACAAGAGGATGAGCAAAACTAACATTTTTAGGAGGTGTTGAGGTGTTTACGATCACACCATAAAGTGTATGGCCGTAAACTCTCCAAATGGTCTTATTTTAGGTCATAAAGGCAACGGGTTTCAAAGGTTCAAGTGTTCCAAGGTTAGCAAGTGTCTATAAGTGTTTAAGGCTCAAAACATGACAATTGCAAGGGTTTACGGCCAAGGGAGATACTCCTGGCCGTAAACTCTTATTGATGTTGATTTTGATGATGTTTCAAGGCTAGGACCTAGTGATTAACATTCCTAAGTAGATGATAGATGGAATACTCACCCTTTTGAGGGCCTTTGAGGAGTTTTCGGCCACCAAAAACAAGCATGTGTTCTTGGTGTTCTTGGTGAAAGTTGATGATCTTTAAGATCTACTCAAAAAGATGAATTTCATGGATGGAATCAAAGGGTGATTTATGAATAAGAAGGATAACAACAACTAGATGGAAGAATCACTTACGTTTTTGAAGATCTAAGAGGAAAGGCTTGATGATACTTGAGAGAGAATGGGGTTTCTTGAGTTGAAAGTGTGAATAATGAAGAAATGTGAAGGAATATGAGACTTAAAGGGGGAGTTTAATGCCGGCCTTGAGTTTACGACCGTAAAGTCATGTGTTATAGCCGTGAACTCCTTTTTGGTGGCCTTAAGGCTTGAATGTTGCACAGTGTCTCTAGCAGGTACATTCTAACACTCATTCCTTAAGTGTATCAGGCTTAGAACACTCAAACGGACTCTAAATAGTGCTAAAAGATAGCAGGAGCGAGTCCGACTTAAGGTTTGATTGTACTGACTTTACAAGGGAAAAAAATTTCGGGTTGTCACAACAACAATGTCAGAAATTAGGTTTGGAGCTCAGGTTTCTACATAATCATAGAGTACGTGGCTAATGGAAGTTGATCAACTCACATAGTAAACCCTCATCGCTCCTAGGAACCTCCAACTGAAAATGTTTAAATTGCATACATTATAAATAATGTTTAATTAGAGGCAGACGCAATGATTAGACAATTCCTGCATAAACAAAATTATACCATATACCTAATGACTTGACAAAGGAGCTCTGCAATTATAACAAAATCAATCAAATTTATTTCATATTTTCTCTATCACCACAAACGATTGTAATTACTTCATCAAAACAATTCCAATAAGCTTAATTTCTGAAATCGATACATGTATGAACATACATCTAAACCTAAAATCTAAACCATTGTTAATATACAAGAAAACTATGAATAGAATTTGAATTACCTTTATAAATGAAGAAATCAAACAACTTTATCAACAATCATATCTATTTGTAGTTTAGGTTTTGACATTTTAGACTATGATAACACCTTAGTCTACTAAATTATAATTCAAAGTAATGATGTGTTTAAGAATTAAATTAATGACCAATATTGCTACAGAATATGCATGGGCCGGAGCGTCTTGGGAACACTAGTGCGTAAAGCATGGATACATATAGACCATGATTATTTTATCTACTAAAATCCTTATCCATGCATATATATATATATATATATATATATATATATATATATATATATATATATATATATATATATATATATATATATATATGAGAAGACATGCCTACTTAGGTTATGTGATCTCATTGCATAATCCTCCATGTTATTGCCAACCAGGTTAATCCAACGTGATATGTTCCTCGTCCTCTCTCCATTGATGATCAATGATCGTAATCAATCTAGAAATATTTGAACCATCGAGGGGTAATATTAGAACGAATTACAACAGAGAATTCTTCATCAAACACCTTACTACTCGATCACTGGTCATGCGACGCCTTCTTAATTATCACTCTGTCACATCGGCATAACTACAAGTAAGCCCAACAGACACCTCGCCCCCGGTATTGGGATCATGTCTATATATGTATCTCACTCTCTCAGTTTTCTGATGGGTTTAACTGGGTCACATTTCTACAAATTTCTCTCATGGGAGTGTGTCGGTCAAAATTCACACCTTCTGTTTTTCTCCGCTTACATGCCCAACGTAAATCATGCCTTTATCAACACATTCTCGAATGGGATATACCCGGTGTTGATGTGCTTAATTTTCCCATGGAATACTAGGTTCTTCATTAGTGTAATTGTTGATCTGTTTTCTACAAGAAGTTTTACACAACCTATGTAACGCTCTAAATTTTCAAACATTTTTTTTTCATTTTTGAAACACATAAAAACTCAATGTCACATTTCTCAAAAAACCACAATTGTCTCAAACATCAAACACAAATCTACAAAATAATGGATAGTATTACAGAATCGTCAAACATAGCCTCGAACAGGTGTGTAAAATCAAGTCGACGCCTTCCTGCGATCCTGAGAAGTACCTGAAATACATAACACACAACACCGTAAGCACGAAATTTAGTGAGTACCCCAAAATGCCACACACAATAGTTAGCCTCTCATGGATATATCTCGATAAGGACCCTCTGGTCATGTGTCTCAGTGAAGACCATCTAGTCTCACAACTCGGGTTGGACCCTCCGGTCCGACTCCCATGTCTATTCTGGACCCTTGCGGTGCTACCACTGAACTTTTACCAACTCAACAACCTTGTTCGTCAAGGTTTTCGTCTTTCTGTGATGAATCGCCACCAGTCTCTCGGTATAATTCAGGTGATCATCCACCTGAATATCCTCTAATGGAACTAGTGCAGAATCAACCACTAACCATTTCTGCAACTGAGAGACGTGAAACGTCTTATGGATCTGACTAAGCTCCTTAGGAAGATCCAAGCGATAAGCAACCCGACCCACTCGAGCCAAAACCCTAAAAGGACCGATGTATATGGGCCTAACTTGCCTCTCTTCCTGAATTAGTTGACACCTTTCCTAGATGACACCTTTAGGAGAACCATATCCCCAACCTCGAACCCTAGATCTGCTTGGCGCTTGTCGGCATAGTTCTTCTAACGACTCTGAGCTGTCTAGAGTCTACCCCGAACCTACTGAATCAACTCGGTAGTCTTGAGTACCACTTCGATACTCCCCATGATTCGCTGACCGACCTCACCCTAACATATCGGGGTCCTACGTTTCCTCCCATAGAGCATCTCAAAACGAGGTTGATCGATGCTGACATGATAACTTTGGTTATACGAAAACTTCACCAAAGAGAGATACGTATCCTAACTCCCACTGAAATCCAATAAACATGGCCGAACCATATCCTCCAAGGTCTGGATAGTGCACTCACTCTGTCCATCAGTCTGTGGGTGGAAAGTCGTTCTGAAATGCAGACGAGTACCCAACGAATCATGGGACCTCTTCTAAAATTTGGAAGTAAACTGGACATCCCTGTCTGAAACCATAGAAATGGGCACCCCATGCTGTGCCACAACCTCCCTGATGTATATTTCAACCAACTTCTCCGCAGAGATACTCTACTGAATCGGAAGAAAATGCGCACTCTTGATTAATCGATCCACGATGACCCAAATCAAATCCATCTGTGCGTTGTCTGAGGCAACTTCATAATGAAATCCATGTTAATCTCTTCCCATTTCCAAATGGGAATGTCTAACGGCCGCATCTTGCCGTGAGGTCGCTAATGTTCGACCTTAACTTTCCTGCAAGTCAAGCACCTTTCAACATACCAAGTGACATCCCGCTTCATACAAGGCCACCGATAGTCAGGACGGAGATCTCTATACATCTTTGTTGCTCCGAGATGAATGGAAAATCTCGATTTATGCGCCTCCTTCATTAGAACCTGACGCGCACCACCCCGATAAGGAACCCATATTCTTCGATGGAGAGTCAACAACCCCTGACTATCATAATCCAAGGAGGCCACCTAACCCAATACGTGCTCACTTTTTTGGTGTTGTTCCTTCATAGCCTCAACTTGAGTCTCTCGAATCTTGTCCAAGAGTAGAGTAACCACTGTTGTCCTCAAACAAATATCTTTGATCGGAGCTGCTACCACCTTGCGGCTGAGAGCACTGGCCACCACTTTAACATCCTGTTTCCTGCCATTTCTGAGCAATGGAACGGATGGTGATTGTGTAAGGTTTTGGGCCTTAATGAGGCAAAGTTTACTCCTTGTGGAAGGTGGTAATGATAGTTAAGAGATTTTACCCTTGAATTGTGTTCTTGGTCGAGGGGTAGAAAGGGAAAAGTCATAGGTCGGATCCTTTCATGAAATATGGATTTTTTGATAAGTTTTTAGTCCATGATATTTAGATAATATTGGCGAGGCCTGATGTCGGGCGGGGCCCGATGACTTTTGTATCGTATGCTATAGTCTTTGTGATTATTGCATGTGCTAGTAAGGTTATATGTTTATATGATTATATGGGTCCATGACTATATGTGTGTATCGAGCGAGGCCCAATGTCAGGCGGGTCTTGGTGATTGACATATCTATAATCCAAGCGGGGCTCGATGTCGGTCAAGGCCCAAGGTCAAGCGGGGCTCGATGCTAGGCGAGCCCCGAGGCCGAGTGGCACTCGAGACCAGGCGAGGCCAGATGGAGGGCGGGGGCCTAGTATGTGATTTTTGTATGTGTGGTATGGGGTGTCTTAGGGAACTCACTAAGCTTTGTGCTTACGATTTTCAGTTTTTGTTTTAGGTTCTTTGGTTTCAAATGAAAGAGCTCGGGATGATTGAGAGAACATACCACATGTTTCTACATTCTATGATTTACTCTGATTTTGATGATGTATCAGTACATTTTAATAATTTAGGTTTTATGTAAATGATTTGGTTTGTGGTTTTATTAATCTAAAATGAAATATTATAGTCTTATTTTTGGGACGTTACATTTAAACTATACACATTATTTTCATTTTTTCTTTTAGTTGTTAAGGGCATTGCCAGACTGCCAGTTGTACCTGATATTCCTCACCATGACCTAATTAAGATATGAAAAAATATTATATCATTTACATGCTTTAGAAAAGTATGTTGTAAAATCCCAATGATTATTAGATTTGTTTGTTCAACTATGCTAATTACTTCTATATATGATTAAATACAAATCTATGCAACATTGTTTCATTTTTTTCCTTAAATTATGTAACAAAGTGATTTTTTTGTTTAAGAGATAAAACCACAACTCAATTTAAGATCAAAACATGAAATATTTCACAAGTAATCTTTATTCCATAATTTAGGAAAAAGGATCCACTTTTTGTTGCATAAATAAGGTAAAAGTTTTAAACTTTGTTTCACAAGTTAAGAAAAAAGTGAAACTTTCTTACATAAATTTTACATACAAACCTTGAGATGTTACATGTGCAGTTCCTGTTGAAGAACCGGATGTGAAGGTATGAGGTGCTGCCTTTACAGATGAATAAGGACACCCTACTTAAAAAATCAATAAAGAGTATTTTGGTAAATTAATATAACTTTCATTCCAATTAAATTGATAGATTTCCAAACTAATAAAAAACAACAAAGGAATGGAATTGAGTTCCATTCCATTTCTTGCCAACCAAATGCATGACATATTTAGTTCTTCATATTTGAATTTCTTACATTTTCTAGCACATAGAACGTTATTTACAAAGATTTCAAATGCCTTACATTCAGGAGCGTCAAAAAGGTCTAGTCATTCACTACAAATTTATATCAAAACCCACAGTTAGAATATAGGATCTATACTTTTGACGAGAAAATATGAAATTAAAAAAGGACAAAACATGTATTAAATGAAAGACCTAGGCACTAACAAAAGGATAAATGCCTTTCAATTTCCCATGATTTGCTTAAATTGGATAACACCTGGAAAAAATATTCAAGATTTTGATGAGTATCCCTTAACCACTACATGTTTAGATTTTTAAGAAGTTAGGAAGTTTATAAAAAACTGGACTTCCATAAAGAAAGAAAAGAGCAAAAAAGTTATTTCATATAAGAGAGTATGAGAAAGGAAACATACATCATGACAACGGTCCTCTGTCCATTTACTCTTCTAACCAGATTGATGCGAGGTGAAAGAGGAATATTTGACTTTGACCCTACAATCTCAATCTTCATAGGTTTCTTATCTAATTGTACATAGTTGTAATGTTTAAACGCTTGAAATGCATTACTTAACATCACTTCATCTGTTCCCTAAATAAAAAAGCAAAAAGAACTAAAAAATGTCTTTTTTTATCAAAGAATTTGAGATTCGTTAGTTACACTTACATTTGGAGGACCACTTTTGTCATAATGAATTGCATATCTATGCAACTCTCCAATCATAGAAAACAGTTCATTAGTGACTCCAAGTTCTAAATTGGAGATATAATTTTGTAGTATTATCCATTTTTGGTAGACTCGCTGCTCTTAAGCTGTCTTCCATCAAATCACGCTGCCATGGCAATGGCTTAGGTCCGTGAAAAGATTAATAAGAGCATGCCACATCTCAACATTATAATACCATAATACAATAAAAAAAAGATTCACCATTCTTCATGAGCTAATCAATTATCATGATTCATGGCATCTAGAACTAATCCGAATCATTTTTTAAAATAAAGATTGGATCTTGAGAATTTAATATTTAAAAAAGATGATGTATCTTTAACACTTAATCATTTTTTAAAATCATTTTTGAAAATGTTATGTTTTTTAAATGTTATGTTTTTTGTAATGTTTTCTTTAAATGTTATGTTTAATTTAAAAATAGGTTTATTTAAATAACATGTTTTAATTAATTTTGTTTAAAAATTAAAAATTAAAAATTAAATCGAAAAAAAAAGAAAAAAGAAATGATGACATGGAGTGTTATAACTAATTGTTGATTTCCTCTTTGGTGTTATAACACAATATTGACATGATATGTTAGGTGACAACTTTTAAGTGTGATAACACCCCTTAACTAGTTGTTCATACCTACTAGTCTAAAAAGAAGGGGTGGGAGGAGAATAGTCACATCCAAACTTATTTAAAGACGTTGGTTGGATGTCCATAATGTTTTCCAAAGCATTTGGATATCCATAATGTTTTCCAAAGCATTAAGAAATATAGATTACGGATGTCAACATAAGTAAATGGGGTGAAATAACTGCCCTGCCCCTGTCTCTGAATTCGTCTGTTTCTTCCGACCCCGCATTCCTCCGTTTCTTCACTCCCGAATTTGAAGACCACCCCCGATCCCGCCTACGTTTCACACGTTAGGCCCGAAATCATCCATTTAACCTTATTCATCGTATTTTTAACTCTTGTATTTTGTTTATCTTTATATATTACACTAATTATTCAAATGCAAAACATATATTACACAATGACTATTTTAATTTTAATAGTTAAATACAAAGTAATTATTTTGAGGTCCCTCACACGGTATTTGGGATAGAAGTAGAACTCCCTACCCCCACAAACTAAATGGGTGTAAAAGCCGCCCTAAACCAAAAACATTGTAAAAGTATTCCCGTACATACACAGGGTCCCATAGGGTTTTTGACATCCGTAATATAGATGCCAAACTAACATGATTTTTTTTCTCAATATAAGGTGTGCGGGAACCATTTAGAGGTTTAGATGGAGGCTTATTTTACGATGCCAAACAATATCCCTTCATTTTTACCGTCTAAAACTAATTAACCACACAAAACCATATTGTGTTCAAATTTTCCCAAAAAAGCAATGTATTACTGAAGCAAATTCTTCAATTTTGAGTGTTATATTTCAATGTTCAGCCATATGAAAGACAAAAATACAAGTTTATGTAAGGATCAACGGCAAATTATATCTATAACCTCATGTATCTGGTCATCCGATTTTTGCTTCTTGAAAGAAACCGAAATGCCAACTTTATGTATCTGCACCAATAAAAACAACAATCTCTTAATTCTTAAACACCACCAGCCTCTATAAACTAATATTGATATGAAGAGATGAAATGAGAAAAACACTAATACTTCAGTATTGAAAGCACGCAAGGTCTCCATATCAGGATTTTCAATGCTTTTAGAAACATTCTCTTTCCATTTGAATGGTACTGCAACACCCTCATCAAGATGTGCCACTGCATGAAAGATGCCTGCAATTTCAACATAATAACACTCTAAGCATGTCCTTTAATTTCTTGAAACAAAAGGGCTATGTACTTACATGGTTCATTAAGGGGAGGCAAGAATGTGAAGGTGGCTGAAATATGTCTCAGAACACCTCCAATCTCATTCATGATTTCTTTATCACTCTTCTCCCTTAAACTTATGAAGATCATAAACCATTAAATTGAGATGAAAACAGTGTATCAGTGGACTAAAGTTTCAGGAATATCTTACATGTTTTCAGCAATTTCACCATGAGTCTCTATACTAAAGTTCCAACTCTGAAGTACTTCATTCGTGTCCTTAGTCATAATCAGAAGTTCAATCTTATGCAACCTCCCAGATTCCAGCCATTCTTTATAAACCCCATTTTAAATGCAAATCACATATATAAAATACAATACAAAATGTATTAAGATTAGGGAAGAGTGTTATTAACAATACTGAAAGTTTACCGGAAATCTTCTCATTAAACTCTGATAAGTATAACTTAACACCCAGATTCTTAGAAAGGAACAATCGATGTTCATGTTTCTTCACTCTTTCAAAAGTTTCTTCAGGATAAACACCATTAAGGTGCAGAATACTACACATTACCCCATCAAAATTAGCATATTTTTTCCAATCCAACACACAGAAGTGAGAAAACCACATCCATAAAAGGAGGAATCGATACCAATTCTTACCTGTTTGCTGCATAACCTGAAAAGAAGGTGTATAATTAGAGATTTGGTAGCATCAAGAAATTAGTGGTTTAAGGAGATGTCAACAAGAAACAAGAGTTTTTACCGAAAAATTCGCAGACAATGGCTGAAGATTCACAGAGAGTGATTATGTCTTTGCTTGGAGTTTCTGTGGGGAATTTTATCAAATTAAAGTGCACAACATCAAACTAAAGTTAAATGGAGAACAATGTTAGAAATTAGGTTTGGAGCTCAGGTTTCTACATAATTATAACCTCCAATTGGAAATGTTTAGATTGCATACATTCGAAATAATGTTTAATTAGAGGCAGACACAATGATTATACAATTCCTGCATGAACAAAATGATACGATATACCTAATGACTTTATCTGCAAACATAACGAATTTATTTCATTTTTTCTAGATCACGACAAACGATTGTAATTACTTCATCAGCAGGCAAATTAAACAATTCCAATATAAGCACAATTTCTGAACTCGATACATGCATGAACGAACAGCTAAAGGTAAAATCTAAACCATTGTTAATATACAAGAAAACTATGAATAGAATTTCAATTACCTTTATAAATGAAGAAATCAAAAAACTTCACCAACAATCATATCTATTTGTAGTTTAGGTTTTGACATTTTAGACTATCATAACAGCTTAATCTACTGAATTATAAATCAATCTAATGATGCGTATAACAATTAAATTAATGACCAATATTGCTACAGAATATGCATTGGTACATATAGACCATGATTATTTTATTTACTAAACTCCTTACCCATGTATATATATAAACGAGAAGACGTACCTACCTAGGTTAGGTGATCTCATTGCATAATCCTCCAAGCTATTACCAACCAGGTTAATCCACCGTGATATGTTCCTTGTCCTCTCTCCATTGATGATCATTGATCGTAACCAATCTAGCAATATTTGAACCATATCGCGCGAGGGGTGATATTAGAACGTATTACAACAGAGAATCCCTCATCAAACACTTTACTACTCGATCATTGGTAATGCGACGCTTCTTAATTATCACTGTCACATCGGCATAACCACAAGAAAGCACAATCGACACCTCGCCCCCGATATCTCACTCTCTCAGTTTTCTGATGGGTTAAGCTGGGTAACGGGTACGGGTTCAAATGGGTCGGTCCAGTTTCTTTATGCACAAGTTGAATAATGAAGGACCCGTTTTGATGGGGTTTCATTAACGTGGAATAGTCCTATCTTCTGCGGTTTTAGCTGCTAGATTTTTTTATTTTATTTATTTATTTATTTTTTTAAAGCATGATTAATAGTTCAAGTAGAGTAGAGTTTATCTCCATTGTAGTTGTATGATGTTTTTAATATTCCAATATTGTATAAATAATATATCAATATATCATACTCAATTATAGAGAATTAGTTGTGTCCAACTAAATTTTCTATAATTGAAGCCTGCAAAGGATTTCTTATTCAGAATGTACCATAACACGAATGTTCCCATTAATTGTAAATTCTGTTTAGCAACACAGATACAATATCTATCGAGGAGATTTTATCGTTCGAAAATATTAAATTCTTGATCTCTTCGATCATCTGGTTACAGCTGAGATGCTTTGTTGATTTTATGTATTTAAATTGTTTATTAATTTCATCATCTTGATTGATTTTGTACTTATCTAGAGGCCTATTTACGACAGATTTTTTTTTTGGGTAATTACTCCAATGACTTGCGTAGCTGAGATGCTTTATTGATTTTATGTATTTAAATTGATTTTGTACTTATCTCGAGTGTCAAATTACTCCAATGACTTGCGTAAAATAGAGAATGACGTACAGTTTGGTTGCTGCATAATAGAACTAACAGGATTTTAGGCAACTAAGTTAATGATAACATGTTACTTCTAAAAGTAACACAACGTACACGATTACAATAAAAAAATTTCTGTTTGATATATCTAAATTACTGAAGTATAATTGGTGTAATACCGTTTGAGCACACTAGGATTATCTATCTCAATTTGTTTTTGTTAAAACTAACTTTTTTATAGTAAGATGGGAAGTATTTTGTTAAATAGTTTAGAAATTTATTAAATAGGATGAAATACAAGTGTGATATCGTACAATTGGTATAGTCCAAAAATAATCACAGTACTACGACTATCTAAAATATTCATATTCATGGTACTTTGTGTATGCAAACATAACTGTGATTCCAAAGGGAATTTATCTTTGGATGGACCAAAAGGTATAAGACAACGGAGTATCCAAAATTTATAGAAATTTACGAACAATGATTCTATTGATAGCTATGCATTTTGGATTGTGTAGCAACTAGAGGCCTATATACACCAATAATCGTTTTGTATGGAAACTCAATTATTAAGATTCTCCCCAATTTTTCTCCAAAACTCGTGCTCTCTGCCATCAGATTAACAGTTTCAATTTCGAAGTTGATTTTCATTCAAATCATGGGCGTCTATAGATTTCCAAAAATCTTGCGTGGCAAGCTGGGAATGTCAAGTTATCATTCAACCTCAGCAACTATTGATGTACCTAAAGGTTGTATCAACGTATATGTTGGTGAAGGCACAAACAAGAGATTTATAATTCCCATAACATATCTAAAACATCCTTCGTTTCAGACCTTGCTAAAGTTGTCCGAAGAAGAGTTTGGCTATGATCATCCTATGGGAGGTCTAACGCTCCCCTGCAAAGAAGAGACCTTCATTGAACTCACACATGATATAGCAGAATTTGTTGAAAGAAGATGACATACTTTGCATTGTCATCGTAAACAACTAGAAAATTTGACTTCTGGGTTTTGTAATTACCAAGCATCTTGGCAAAAGTATATTCCTAGCTAGATTACATTGCTATATCTACGGATTGAAAAGACGATTTGTTGATTTCCCTCTTATTGTCCATTAATAGGCTGCATCTGCAGCTATTGCACACCAATCATTCCAACGCTTGTGTCGCGTAAAAGTCATCAGATCCCGTCGCTTAACTAAAAAGTTGCATTTTGCGGAGAAATAGAAGAAGATCAGAAGATGCCTTGATATGATTGTGGAAATTGCAGCTCTTCCAAACACAAGCCTGTTTTAAGGAGATTATTTTATAGATAAAACCAACAATAAAATTGATACTAGTGCTCATAAACGCTTTATGATTGGGTATTCAAACCTATCTCTCTTCTTCCAATTCTAATAAAAGAATATCTTTAATCTCTTTTTCTCATGTGTCACTCTAATACAACTCTTTATTAATATTATGCCACATGCCATGGAGATATATTAGGGAAATCACTTCAAAATTCAAATTTACTTTTTCTAATTATATTTTAAATTTGAAGTTAAAGTAAGTTTAAATTTTTGATATATCTGTTAATTAATAATTTATTTAAAAAATTAATTAATAATTATGAATCTTTACTATGAAAGTTTAAGTAATTGTGTAATCGTGTTTTTCAAGAGTTATAAACTAGTATAATATATAAACCTAGCCTTTTAATAGCTACAAAATAGCGATGAATTTATTATTATTATTATTATCATCATCATCATCATCATCATCATTATTATTATTATTATTATTATTATTATTATTATTATTATTATTATTATTTTATATGTGTATGTACTATTTTTCGTGGGTTAAATGTCCTTCTTCTCACATTATCATTATACTTTGAGGAAGTTCATTGGAGAAGTTCCCGACATGATTCTACTTTCGGAATTGAGAATCGATGAGAACAAGAGGTTAATTGAAGAATCAGAGGCAATCGTTGACCGCAAGAGTAAGAAGTTGAGACGTAAGATGGTTGAATTAGTGTTTGTCCGATGGAAACATGCGAATTGGCCAAATCTCACATGGGAGACGGAGAGTGACATGATGAGTCGCTATCCGCATTTGTTTGTTGATATGTGATTTCGGGGATAGAATCATCCTAAGGTAGAGAGAATTGTAACACCCATGTTTCAGGGCTAGGCATTAATGTTGATGTAATAGTCTAGGTTAATGTAACATCCCGGAATCGCAAGAGTAGAGTTGAAGGGCTAAAAGTGTAAGTTTTAGAGGATGACTCGGCGAGTCCATGGATAGACTCGACGAGTCAGGTCGCGGTCATGGTCGCGTGTCTAGTGGCCTACTCGGCGAGTCCCAAGGATGGACTCGGCGAGTAGGTGCTGTATGGAGAAAACCCTAATTTCCGGGGTTGAGCCCTATATAAAGAGCATTATACCCCTCCACAGCCTCCCTTATTCCCCCTTGAGTTCTAGAAACCCTAAATTCGTGGAGAGATCATTTGTGGAGCAAATTAGAGCTTGGAGAGGTGTTGTTTGAAGAGATCTTGAAGGAGAAGTGGCTTGGATCAAAGGGCTTTGCTTGGATTCGAGTTTGGCTGCTATTGAGGCATCTTTTGGAGGTAATATCTTCGTCCTTAGGCTGTGCATTCCTAGTTTCATCATTTTGGGGTTTGTGGGGAGTATGTCTTGGAATGTTTTGGAGTTTGGAGGATAGATCTGAGGTTGCTACCTCAGATCTGGAATATTGAAGGCCTAGAGTGCATTAAAGTTCCTGTGTTTGAGTGCTTAGTGAAGCCACCATGTCCCAAACCTTGGTTTTAAGGTGAATATGGCTTAGATCTCGTTAGATTCACGTAAAGTTTGCCACTTTACGTGATGGATGGATTGTAGGAGGTTGGATCTATGTTTTGGATTAATTGCATGGCCTGAGATGCTTCTGTATGGATTCAGAACGGTGGTACTCGACGAGTCACATGGGTGGACTCGACGAGTTGCTTGAAGATGGCCTGGGACTCGACGAGTTGGAAGAACAACTCGGCGAGTAGGTTGAAGATGGCCTTGGACTCGACGAGTCCATTTGGACTCGGCGAGTCTTGTCGAGGAAGTCCCAATATTTCTGGTTGAGTCGATGAATCGGTGAGTTGGGTGCGAGTGGACTCAGAGTTGTTGGACTCGACGAGTCTTGGGGTGACTCGGCGAGTTGGGTCGCTGCTTGAAGGAAGATCTGAGCATATGGACTCGGCGAGTCATCGGGTTGACTCGGCGAGTAGGGTCAGTCAGGGGTTGACTTTGACTTGTCCATGGTTGACCAGTTGTCTTCCAGGGGTATTTTGGTAATTAAGGGTATTTATTGAGTTGTATGTTTTGATGTTCAGTGGAGGAGTTCGTGTCAGAGTTCGGAGCAGCGGGATCTTATCTTTTCAGCCGACAGTTTCGAGGTGAGTTATCCTCACTATATCAACAGGGTCTAAGGCACCAAGGCCGGCCCTTTATTGTATTGAGATTCGGTTATGGTTATTATGTTATTGTTTGATGTGTCTGCATCCTGGTAGCTAGGATGGTACATGCTAGGAGGCCTTGTTAAGGTCAGTTTTCCCGATATACAGAGTGATGCTATGCTAGTGACCGGTTAGGTCGGTAACCCGGTTAGGGTAATGATATGCTATGTGATCTGCTTGTTCGGTTTGTTGACTATGACTGTTATATGAATGTATGTTTTGTGCACATGGTTGTTTGGACTGGAGATGGGTTGAGGCGGGTCCTGCTTTGTGCTGTAGGCCAAGATACCCAGGCGGACCGGTTGTTCCGAAGGCCCAGCGAGCGGTCCGGATAGGCTGTAGGCCCCACGAGGGCGGACCAGACGTGCCGAGGCTCGGAGAGTGGACCAGGCCGACTGAAGGCCCGATGCGGGCGGACCAGTCACACTGTAGACTCGGAGAGTGGACCAGGTGGGTTGAAGGCCCGATGCGGGCGGACCAACCCCACTGTAGACTCGAAGGACATGACTAGACCTGGAGGATGGATCCGTTGGACTGAAGGCCCGATACGGCGGACCAGTCACACGGTAGACCCGATATGCATGGCTGTTCTATGTTCTGTTATGTTATGTATGTTTTATACATTTTGGACCGGAAGGTCGCAGCCTGGAAGGGCGTCTACGTGGTTGGTATTTTGGGGGTATCTCACTAAGCTTTCGGGCTTACAGTTGTGGTTTAATGTTTTTCAGGTTCTTCAGGAGACTGTGGCAAGGCGAAGGCGCGATCGTACCGCTCCTCATGATTTTGTAGCAATGTGATTCTGGGAATACTCTAATGACTTGTATTGAAAACCTTTTTGTAAACATTTTAATGAAAATCAGGTTGTTTTGAAAATTTTAAATTGGTTGTATTTTTCGGATGTTACAAGTTGGTATCAGAGCCTTGGTTTGAGTGAATT